AGGCACCCCGAGGAAGCTTACTGGAGAGGATCGTGACCATATCTACGATACTATACAAGAAAATCCTTCAATATTGATCGAAGATCTACTTGGAGAGATAGATTATAAGGTCCACCGCCAGTCAATTTGGCGCCTCACCCATGAAATGGGTCTCCGAAAATGGAGGAAAATGCAGCGGCCTTCTTTAACGCCTTTACACGCCGAAAAACGCCTAAATTGGGCTCGAAGATATCAGCATTTTACGTCTACAGATTGGGCCCGTGTCTACTGGTCGGACGAATGTACGGTTGAACGTGGTATCGGACAGCGTTAAGAATGGACCTTTATACGTCCGAAAGACCAGCTTTCTCAGCATTCTGAAGGCCCTCAAGTTCAAATGGTTCCGGCGCGAGGGAAGCAAATTAAGCAGATGTTTTGGGCTGCTTTCTCTGGCCTACCGCGTCGATCAGGTCTAATTCCACTTTTCGGAGATCCTACATCTAGAAGAGGTGGTGTTTCTTCGCGTACAATTGAAGAGCTGTATCGGCGCCTCTTACCTACGCTACTTAATAGCATTAATAATAATGCTATTTTTCAGCAAGATAACGCGCCGGTACACACTGCACATATCGTACGGGACGCCCTTAATGAGATTGAATGTGAAATCATGGAATGGCCACCCTATTCACCTGATTTAAATCCCATTGAGAACCTATGGGCGCTGCTAAAAGCCGAAATATTGAAGCGTTATCCTGAGCTTATGCACCTACCAAACAACGAAGCTACGCTAGAATTACTAGTTAATGCTGCGCAAGAAGCATGGGAAACGCTAGATATTGAGATATTTCAGCATCTCTCCGAGACCATGCCACATAGGGTGGCTGATGTTATTAAGTATGATGGCTGGCATACTAGCTATTAAATTGAATCGAATTCCTGAGGTTTCTGCCAGGCAGTAATAAAAGGTGGGTCCTAGCCCGAAGTACCGGTGGTCAAATACTTTTGTTACACCACTGTAAAATGGAGAAACTGATTTCAATTCCTCCTGTATATCGATGCCAGTTTTGCCATACTCGAAAGCGTGACGGGATAATGGCCGCCGAGCTTCGTCTTACGAGAGTCCAGAGGATAAGCTGTACAATGTCACGGTTTGGTTGTAGCTATGTTCTGTAAGGTCGGGATGCTGCGGTCCTTGCAACAGTAACTTTTGAGAGATCCGCAGCTTTCAAATGGGCCACCCAGCACGCTTTTACGAGAACTACGTCAATAGAAAGGATGCCAGGTTGTTGCGCGTGGTCATCCATGCGAGCTAAGCGACATCGAGTGGTTGATAATTGGTTAGTATTGGACTCTACGCGCGGTAAATATGCCAGGCTCAATATAAAACTGAATAATAGAGTGGCAGGATAGCGCAGCTAGAGACGAGTTTCTAGTATCGGAATTATTTCTAGAATTAGAAAAAGTTCTTACACACCGCTCATGGGAAAGAGAACTTATCTGGTCAATTAATTGCGCGAGCTATTTTGAGATAATATCTGCTAACCCTATTTTTCCGCCATAAAAGCTCTGTAAGGTCTTGACTATTTGTCTTCCGGTGGACTTATATAATGCTACTATGTCCTATTTAGAAAGTCTTATAGGGCTACCAGAGTGGGCTAAAGAGGTTAACTAGGGACTTATAGGATACTAATCTTAACATCCTATGGTAGGATTTCTTGGCCAGGATCGTGGATGGATATAGGGAAAAGTTGAGTACCGTGGACAGCCCGCTCGACACTTAGTTTACCATTTTAAATTCGAGGATAAAGAGGCAGATTCCACGCGGTTGGTTTCCCATCGCGTGCAGCTCTCTCTAGTATAACTCTCGAGAACCGGCCTCGAAGTTGGAGACACTTGGCCTCTTTGCACTCGTGACGCTGCCGAACCGCTGTAAAATCACGCTGGGAGTATTCGCAAAAATCGGGTGTGCACTCGTTATGCTCGCTGTAATCCCCATGCTCGTCGAATCTTTCTCCGGCCCTGGGGATCAAGTTAAAATCTGGCAACAGCTTGGGTATGTTCTCCCCTGCAACAGCCCATATGCGATTCGGACAGAGATTGAGTTCCCTCGCTCTCTGGAAGGTTTCCAGGAAGGAATCGCAATCGGAACCCATGGTCTTCACTGTTGTAGCAGGCTTCATGATAGCCTTCGAGCTAGCGAGGGATATCAGTCTTGCCCCAATCCAAGAATGCTAAGACCCCGCAATCAATTGAGGGGCTACGCAGTCAATCAAGGGCCACCGAGAGTCAACCAGTTCGTAGGAGCTAGGTGCTAATTCCAGGTAATGTGCATTTAAGTATACCTCTCAGTTTCCTAGACCGCGGCCAGTAAAAATTTTGAAACTGTGGCAGTGTGCAGTTACCAAGGTAGTTCTACATATCGGAAAACCTCTGCGCGCTAAAGGCCATTTTCGGCCTGCCCCTCTCTGTTTCATTGTTTACTCCGCGTTCCAATGAAACAGCAACCACGTGACTAAGCAGTATACCACACTACAGCGCCAAGGACTGGTACACTAGGATGGTATATTAGAAAGACTATTGATAGGAATCAATCATTATACCCAGCCGGAGGGCAGGGTGCGACCACGAGGGATATATAAGGGCATCATATATCTACTTAAGTTCTTCGTGTTCAATCTACATTGTTACTTGAGTCTACTGTTCAGAAACCTTAGTGATTTTTTACTTGATTATAACTTGACAACACTACGACCAGACCAATACTCCGGTATAGATCTGTTCGGCGCATTATCTGGCATCGCTCCTCGATACCCTTAAAGGACTTAGCCCGTATAAGACCTGGTAGGCAACGGTACGATTGAGAGACAGGTCGTTGACGGTGGAAGCAGAGAAGCATTAGGCAAGTATAACCCGGAATCTTCTGACTTAGCGACGACCCGATAGTCGTGCGTAACACTAAGCTAGAAAAATACGAGAATATAGCATTTAATTAGGCGCTATTAGTTTAAAACTTAGTTTATATTATGACTTACGTTCCTAATAATTAGTACTATGGATAGAAACGTTTCCGTAACGAATCTATAGATACTAACTTTCCGAACGAGCCTAATCCGACTCCTAAGGACCTTAGCTTCCGAAACCTTTCGCTAAGGACTATATTATAACGCGTAAAAAGATCCCTTCTTAGAAATCGGCTTAACAACGCACTCGTGGCACATAGTATCAAACACCCCATATTGTATATACCCCTCAAAGCCGGTCCCGACGATAGGGCTCCCCAACCTCTACCGTAATATCCACCGTCCTTAGCACGGCTCCCTTCCCTTGGTTTTCCTGCGTCAAATGCCGCGTACTCTCAGTCCCTTCGCTTGAACTAGACTGCCTATCACCCTCACCATTCTGATTCAAATCCCGACCCGACGAAACTTCAGTGACAACCCCGGTCTCACCTCCCCATCCATCAAACATTGACCGTCCATTCTTCTTCGAGCGTTCACGCGACCGCGACTGCGAATGCGACTGGCTTGCTCCCGTGGAGGATTGGTTGATATACCCGCTGGCTTTGGTCCGCGGGAGTTCGAGCCCGATTCCGTCGGGGATCTGGGTTGTGGTCAGGCCAGAGTGCAGGCCGGCGAAGATGTGGTAGAGCGTCGGGACGCAGGCAGTTACGACGGCTGTGAGCATCATTGTCTGGCCGACTGTTTCCCAAATGACAATATCCCCTATATACTTGTCAGATCCATTCAATGAGGCTTTGGTGGGATTTGGAAGGGGAATGGGGTGTCACGGACAGGAGATGTCGGTTGAGCGAACGAATGAAGGTAGGAGGGCTAGGTGGGCGATTCCGAGGCCGACGATACTGTGATGGGTTAGTCAGTGAGTTATTGAATTCGCAGGAAAAGTTCCTGGAGTTAGTGCTAAGATACCTTAGTCGCAAAGAGAAGGAGCACAGGATCTTCACCCGCTTACGCCAGGCCATCTGGACATTCCGCATCATAATGAACGGCTGGACAACAATGATAATCTCTGTGAGGATATTGAAGACTGCAATCAGGTAGAATAGGGCACCCTGTTCGGGGTTAGATCAGGTGTTCAGTCGATTTTGGCCCGGTTTCCTGGTGTATACTAACCTCTCCAGCACATCGCTCTGGTGAGTATAGCCACAGATCGGGCAATTCACATTGAAAAGTTATACTCAATATTGCGAGCATCGACCACCCGACAACTATACCAGCGGTAACAGCACAGCTGCGACGGAGGCTCTTACTTGGCGATAACTTCCAAACCAGCAGGATGGTCGACATTTTCGAAAGCGACAAGACAATGATGAGCAGAATATGAGCAGTGAAGGCAAACTTGCTCCAGGCCTGAATATCGCCTTCGCTAAGCTGGTCCTGGTGCTTTCCCAGTCCATGATCAACAGCCTTCTGTAAGACAACGACTTGAACAATTGCAAGAATCAAAGCGACCCAGATGGGAGTATTGACTGTTGTCCGTCGCTGCTTGAAATAAATCACCGAACTGACCTTAGCGAGCACAAAGATTATGGCCACAATCAGAAGGGATACCGAGATTAAGGTGATGATACCACCGCGATTATCGCTTGACAGGGCCTGGAAGGCGTTGTTTTGGTCGGCCATCGCATGACATCTACGTCAAAGTTTTCAGAACTTGCGGAGATGGGTACCAGCATAGAATAAAAACCCGCTTTTTCACATCCCTGATACTAAAGTTGCTTGTTGCTTCTTCGAGTCCGGGCCCTACTCACAGGGGCCGCACGAGGTGGCGGTTATTTGGCGTGGCACCATGGCATCTCATCTGGGGTAAGGATGCGAATCCTGTCAGTACACTGTCTGTTCAATCTAACATACCAATAGTTTAGACTACTCAGGTGGGTCCGAGATTTTTCCATCAATAGCATTGTCCATAACTATGGACCAGACCCGAAATGGGGCCACTACCCGCTAGAAAAGACTGCTCTTTTACTAGGCATTGTTAGCAGCCAACAACAAAGCGCGGAGTCCGGGCTTTTTAAATTTGCGGTACAGGGGTCCAATGATCTCCGGAGAGTCCAGATGCAGCACTAAACAGCGCCCGTCTCATTATTAGAATGCAACAACAAGGGTTTGCGCCGAAGCGAACAGGACCGTTTCTACGCGGCGCAACAACTTGCATATGGGGTGTCGACTACTTGTTTCGCATTCATTGTGCAATTAGGACCCCTGTCTAGTCTCCGTTTACGGAAATGAGCAGGCAAAATTGGCCACAAGTACTTCTTGCCGTCTTCAGGCCGACTGGTCTATTTTCTGTCGACTATTTTTTTCTCCGACTTTTCTGTCCTCGATCGTGTTTCAATATGCAGGAAGAGATGGAAATGAAGAGCGGGAGCGCTGTGCGATCAGTGCCAGCGGGGAGTGGGAATGATGCCTATGAGAGCGTTACATTGCGCCAGAAACAACAACTGGAGGTAAATATCCAGCGTTCGATTGACCTACGCAAACTCTAATATTTCAACAGAGATATCTCAACTTCTTCTCATCGGTCGCATTTTCCACTTGCCTGCTTGCCACCTGGGAATCCGCCGGTGGTAGTTTGCTTGCGGGGCTGTACAACGGCGGCCCTGCAGCAATTGTTTATGGGATTATCTTAAGCACCGTGGGTAATCTGGCCATTGCATGCTCTTTAGCTGAGCTTGCCTCTATGTATGTGCACGAATGACTGCGATGTGACAGCGCTGACCTCGAGACCGACAGACACCCAACTGCGGGTGCTCAATATCACTGGAGCTATTTCCTCGCGCCTCGTGGTCGTCGATTCATCAGTTTCTTCCAGGGTGAGCGCATGCCTTGTCATTTTCCTTCGTTCATAGTCGCATGCTGAACATATCAGGTTGGGTGACTGTCTTCTCCTGGTCCGCTCTCGTCTGCATCGCGCCATACTTCATCGGAACCCAAATCCAGGGCATGGTTGTGCTGGCGCACCCTGACTATGAGCTTGTGCGATGGCGCGGTACCCTGCTCATGTGGGCAGTTGCAATCATACCAATAATCATCAATATATATGCGCGTCGCGTTATGGGAGGCATCGAGGTTGCTGCGGGTATCATGCATGTCGTGTTCCTACCCGTTACCATCGCAGTCTTCGTTATCCTCGCCCCTCGAAATCCCGACTCGTTTGTCTGGAACACTTTCGTCGGCGGCTTGAGTGGCTGGAAGGATTCCGGAGTTGTATTCTCCATCGGTCTTCTTGGTGTCATTACTCCCCTGGCTGGTACGTGCCCCACTATCAGAATATTGAACAATCTAATCCATACCAACAGGCGTCGACGGCGTAATCCACATGGCTGAAGAAGTCAAAAACGCCAACGTGGTTGTCCCCCGCTCCATGATCTATGGCACCCTAATCAACGGAACCCTCGCATTCTGCTACCTGATCGCCATCCTCTACTGCATGGGAGACTACACCGAAGCAGTCACCAGCCCAACAGGCTACCCCATCATTACAATCGCCTACCAAGCCACCGGATCCAAGGCAGCCACCTTCATCCTCATGGCAATAGGCATGCTGCCCGGCTGGATCGCCCTCTTCAACGGCCTCGCCTCCGTCACGCGTCTCACCTGGGCTTTCGCTCGAGACAACGGGCTCCCCTTCTCCGACTTCTTTGCCTTCGTCGACCCAATCTATAAGATCCCCCTCCGTGCTTTATTCCTAGTTGCATCATGCATCTTCGCGCTCTCGTTCATCCAGATCGGGTCTACGGCTGCATTCAACGCTATTCTCTCGCTCAGCACGCTCGGTCTCTACATTTCCTATCTTATCCCTCTCATCCTCCTTGTCTTGAAGCGTTTCACGTCGCCCCAGGATATCCCGCAGGGAACATTTAGTCTAGGGAAATTCGGCCTCCCCATGAATCTTCTTGCTATTCTCTTCGCCACTTATTTCGTTATCTTCCTTCCATTCCCGGCTACGGTGCCGGTTACTGCGGAAAATATGAACTATGCCGGGCCTGTGCTTGGGTTTGTTATATTATTTGCCTGTGTGGATTGGATTGTTCGCGGACGGCATAAGTGGGTAGGCCCAACAATGAGGTCTTATGCTAGGAACGAGTGAAGTTTGGAAGGTTTAAATTGAACATGGAAGAGGGTGTTAATATTCGCTAATGGCTTTTTATTACCAGGGTGTGACTAGACTCTACATATACCTTTTTTTACTAGTTATTGAAGGGGGATGGCACGATGGCAGTCTTACATAGCAGACGAGTCGATATCAATGGAGACTGCACAACCAACCACTTCCATGTCCAGCACAGACGTAGAGAGCAGTCTCTGTTGGTGGCTATTGCACTACTATTGAAGCTATATCACGAAAGAAGAATCTGGTGGAAAACTGTAGTCACATTGATGATGGTAGGATGATGCCCTCTCTAAGAAAAGACTGCATGCATGCATCCTAAGGCATTTGCGATACCTCAGGCCACTAATAGCTACTGTCACGGGTTCCACCACTACAGTAGTTAATTTGTAGAGCAAATTGCTAGGGGTGGAGAACGGATTTATAGGCCACGAGCCTGACATCTTTTGCGAGAAAGCAGGAACCGCAAACAGTGGAGCCTGACCCAGCCCGGAGAGCATTATCTGCGTGTGGTAGTGTCTCCCAGGCCAGGCCTGCGTCGGTGGAAACTAAGTGGCTGATCGGCTCGAGACCAATTGGCAATGCGAATATTGAGTTAGACATCTGTTCCTTCCCAATATCAGGAGGATCGCAAGGCTTTAAAAGGGAGCGTGGAAATCCTATGATGCATTCAACGGAACCGCTCTGCCCCGTAGCGCTAACACAAATATTCTTACTGCTTCCAGCAGCATGCACCTATTCTCCACAGGGATTTACATTGACACTTGTGCATTTATACATCATGTGAGCAGATCCGATTACTCTCCATTCTTTCAACAAGAGCACAGTAGATGATGCAATCAGCAATCTATTTGACATTCTTCTCCTAGACTTGAGCAAACTCCCATTGCTATTGGAGTCAAGGGTCCAAACAACGGCTGAGTAAACGCAGGCGTGAAATTTCCGATTCAACCGGACGAGAGAGATCTGACACGACTTCCAATAGGAGCGGGAATGTTACCATCAATTTTAACATCAATCACAGTTGGGGTTTTCCAAGCAATTGCTCGACTGAGAGCCTCATTTATGTCCTGATTAGGCCCTACTGTCAGTCCCTTGGCCCCTATCGCTTCGCCATATTTAGCAAATTGAATGGGCGGAATGGCGCAATCTGGTATTTCCGCCCCTTCAATGTTGAAGACCTGCTGGCACATATTGTAGCGGCTATCGTTCATCACCAGCCATATAATCGGCATTTGATATCGCACCGCTGTGCTGAGCTCGTTCTGCATAATCATTGCGCCATCACCGACAATTGCAATAACCGGGGTGTTGTTCGATCCGATTCCAACCACTCCACATGCGGCGTGAGTCATTGCGGCCTCATGTGTGCTGATGCGGAAGTAGCCTGGCATGTTAAATTTAAGATAGCGCGTGACCCATGCCAGCGTATTGCCAATGTCCGCTATAATGGTGTAGTTGTGCTTGCGTACTGCAATCTCCTGAACTGCCGACAAAACCGATACAGGATGTAGTCCATTAGGAGTGGCCATTCCAGGGGGAATCATGTACGGCTCCAGCCTGTATGTCGACATCTTTGGCATTGTGATCGCGTTCACGAGACCACAAAGGAGTTCCGTGACATCTGCATCGATTACCATTGCGTGTGGTGGCAGATTGCGCCGAATACCTTCTGGCGTATTCGTGACCGCAATGATTTCTCTTTCTTTCCAACCAAATTGGATAAACGATGAGCTTAGCTCCTCCAAACGGGAGCCAAGTACAATCACACCCCAGTCGCTCCCAGCTCTGGAAAGACTTCCTTCCACATTGCCTCCAAGACCGGTACACCCCCAAGACAGTGGGTGTGTCTCGGGAAACACGCCCTTGGCGCGTGGAGTGGTCATGACAGATGTGTCGTAATTTTCGGCCAACTCCAAGAGATTATTTGCAGATTTCACGGCGCCATACCCTGCCCAGATGACATGCTTTCCTTTCTGGAGTTTGGTTTGAACAAAGTGAATCCAGCGGTGGATCTTCGGGTCACCGGGGATTGGGGCAACTCCATTCTGCGCTTCACGCCCGACCAGTGGTGCAACGAAAGACTTTTGAATATCTGGTGCAACGAAGGCACCCAAAGTACCTGAACAGCTTGACTGAAGATGATACAACACTTGCCAGAGTTTCGCAAGGTCGGTGCGATGACGTATGACCAAGCTCTGACTGAATGGAAGCTGAAGAGAGTCCCCGGTGAAAATTTGAACATTTTCTGGAGAGAACTCTTGTACTTTCTTTGGGTCATGCTCGTTTTCCGTCGTAATTGCGGACAGAAGAACGAGCTTGGCCCCATCCGCACGGGCGCTCCTAAGGGCTGTAAAGGCATTTGTGAGCCCCGGACCACTGGTGGCAAAAACAGCAGCAATTGTATTTGTATGCAAAGAATGCTCCATTGCTGAAAAGGTTGCACCATTCTCGCTACGACAATGGTAGACCTCAATAGCAGACGACGCCAAAGCATGCCATAGAGGGAATACATAACCCCCGGACACACCGAAGGCTTTGGTGCATCCGACATCTTCCAGGATCCGAACTGTCTCGGTTGCAAAAGTATTCATCATGGCTGTAAGATGAGACTGAATATATAGATTGGTTATCAATATTCCAGTGGCCGAATATCTGGGGGTTAGATATGGGACTGAAGTGCGGAACCAAGCTCTTATAGAATCTCAATGCCTACCAAGGTCTAGTGAATCTTGAGCTCAGGCAAAACAGACAAGCTATGATTCATTGATATTCTTAAAATCACATATTCCATAATGAGCGCCTCGCGTCTCATCGATATGCAGTCCATCGCTAAAACAGTATTGATACGACAAGCTGAGTCGTAGGCTGTTACACGAAGAGATATCTTGCCGCCAAGCCAGTATACTCTCACTCAAATTGCGTCATTTGCAGATGATAACCAGAAACTCGCTCTGAGAAGACCGCCATAATAAGTCGCTGATACCAGCAGAAAAGGTTTATATATCAACCTGCCGGTGAGATTGAGTTTCTTTGAGTGGACCAATTATTTAATTTCGGGACTGCAGTGGGCCATAGCCATCGAGTGAAGTTTCTGGTTGTCTCTTAATTACCAAAACGTCTTTATCAAGTACGTTGCAGTACATGGTGTTAACCAAATGAAACGGCGATCTAATTCAAACCTGGGGAAAGTATGCGTTAGAGGCTGTAAAACGACGTTCAAAAGCAGTGATCCATACTTGACCTTGAATTTTTATTTCGTGGAGCTCGTGCCACATTGACCACATGGCATGTTAGACATCATTCCCTGGCCGCAATAGATAGTTTGCATTCGGTATCTGCGAAGTTCTTTGGAAATGGAAGAGATGGCGCACTGACACCTGAGTTTGTGCTACCATACACGTCACTGCTTGTGTAGCATTTCCCTCGCCAAGTCCCTGTCGCTTCGGTTGCCGCAAATAAAAGATGACTCTGCCCCAGTATGACTATTTTTCATGCTCCTTAATGTGGCTATGAACAACTGAAAAATCCTGAGGAGGATGCTCCAATCGTGATCGAGAACATGAACAAATGTGTACCAATATTCGACCCTCAGCGCCTATACAGGGTCTTTGCGAAGGGGGCAATACTGCATCGCAAATTCTGTCGAGAGGCGACTATGGGCTTGGTGCAGTCCCAGGGATTAACGGAGAGGTCATCATAATTGCTGGCGAGACGTATCATTACTCAGAGAAAACGCGAAAACTTGGAGGCTCCGATCTGTTCTCCTTTGCCATGTCAACTCAATTTCGGCCCGCTTTGGAAACCTTTGTACCGACTGTGACTTCTGACCCCCTTTCTTATCGACTCTTTGATTTCCTCCCGTCGAAGCAAAATTGCTTCCTCTCTATTCGTCTTGACGGGTTCTTCAATAGCATCACCTTCCGGCTCATCGCTGCATAAGAAAACGCCTCCAGATAGAACCTTAAGAAACTAGAATGACTACAGGATTCCTTCGGACCTAGCGATTTTCCAACTATTTCAGCCTTTCCACTATTCCTAGGGTCGTTCGCTTCCCATCTAAGATCAGCCGCTGTTCACGCTTTTCTCAACAACAGTAGTGCCGCCCCACGGATCCCTAATTGTGAAATTGAAGAGCGATCGAAACGGCTTCTTGTCATGAGAAACAAGCTTAAACAACGCAGATAACCTAGAGCATCGTTCAACAGGACGGTGTCAAGGAATGGGGCTTCGTGATATATTGCTGCATGTAAAGAGGACTGTACGATGTAGAAAAGATGGTTCAGCGCCCTCAAGGGGGAGAGCGGGGAAAGATAGTCCCTACCAAAAGACACCTATAGCGATTGATGCCCAGCGCATGAGTGATTCTCACCCCGTCTATAGCACACTCACCCTTGTCACCCCGAGCGCGCGACCATAAAGCGGCTCTCACCCTAAACTCACCCATGCGACACCCACCTGACTACTGGCTGCACATAAGCCCACACACTATACAGAGTAGTGAGGTCTGATCTAAGACCTTTTTAAGTCTACTTACTATATAACCCCCTTCCATGTTTGATTCAGTACATACGACCATAGGGTGTGGAGAACAGGGCTTCCCGTCCGCTCAGCCGTACTTAAGCCACACGCCGGTAAGTTAGTAGTTAGG